CATCATGGTCTAACTACACTGTAAAAATTGTGCCGTTAAATAACAGTAATTTACTGGCAGCAGGGTTGCCAGTAAGGTACTGTTAATTTACAGCTCTCAACCGTTAATTTACAACTCTTAATTTTTACAGTGTTTTACCGTAATTCTACCATGGAAATTAACTCCGCTCCCATTGCTTCAAACAGTTCGAGTTTAAAAACTAGCGTTCATACGATATTAGTACTGTGAACTTATTTCATTTGAGTCCACTGAGAAGGAATATTTCTTAGTATAAAACTGCAAACACTTAATGTGTAACAGCAAAATAACTAAAAACATGACTTTAACTCAAATCATTGCAGTTCACTGTTAGCTATAGCACACGTGTGAGATGAAGTAACAAAGAGATCATTACTGTGTCAACAACTCCACAGTTACTGCCTTTAAATAAAGCAGCAGAACATCCGTGTTTGTGGCTCATCATTGACTGAAGCACAAGCTCTACTCTCCAGCACAATGGTGACCTACAAAACTACATTAACAGATCTCTCTTGTGCAAAAACACATTAATACAGTTCAGTTAAATATTTACTCTCCTTATCAGTTCATGACTTTGCATAACTTTTTTTCTATGGATGTTCACAAATATTTCAGTCAAATTAACTTTTTTCATTTGGTAAATCTGACTCTTACGTTTTACAGTATATTGCTGTTTTTTCCTGGACTTAACGGCAACAAACTGTAGAAAAACAGTTATTTACTGGCAACCGTGCTGCCAGTAAATAACTGTTTTTTTACAGTTTGTGGCCGTAAAATAATTACAGTTTATTACTGTTAAATTACATTTCATGCTGTTTTTTTTCCATCTTACATCTTTAACCCTTTAAACCCCACAACAAAATCCTCAGTTTTAAATGAACACTTATAATGTGTCCACACTACAGAGTGAAGCAGTGCTGAAGTTAATGAGATAATTCTGTGATTAATTAAGTGATGATTGTGCATTAGTGATGAACAGCTGCTGTTAACAAGCAGAATCACTGAAGAAACGAGAAACACAAGAACCACAACTGACTTCAGCCACAGCCTGATGGAGATCAGTGTTTGCTCTTGAACCTTGATTTTTTAACATGATCTTTAATCGGCTGTTTTAACCATTGTGTTTTTCAACACATTTGTTGGGGTAAAAAAGGGCCAAAGCACAATATGTAATGCTGTTGTTTGTGATTTGCAAACGATATTACCATCTTTAAAAAACAGGTTCGCTGATTTTGTCCATAGTCTGTTTTTACACTAAAGCGATGGTAACATATTAGGACAAAAGAACAAGCAGCTTATTATGAAAAATCATACACATCACTCACAAAAAAAAAGTGCTATAATATGCTATGAAACACACACATGAAGAATCAGCGTATGAATCTCAACAACGGTGACAATCAAAAAAATTAATACACAGATCGACATCACAAAACACGCTACTAAAACTCAACACAAAAGCAAAAATAAAAGCACCTAGTAAGAATTAAAGAAAATAAGTGGACAATTCAGCTGCATAATTTATTCATGCCGCAATGCATGCTGGGAGTCATGGATGAGTTTTTTCCTGCGCTGGTACCCAGCATGCATTGCAGCATGAAGCTTTCGATTGTCACCATTGTTGAGATTCATACGCTGATTCTTGATGTCTCTGTGTGTCTAAAAGATGCCATAATTTTAAAGCCTTCGAACATAAAACGTTTTCAAACTCCAATATAATTGTCTATCGTCTCAGCTTGCAGTGTCATATAGCTAGCTTAAATAACATGAAACAAGTGAAAACCCACACTATAGTTTTAAAGACCAGCCACTGAACAAGATCAGTGAATCAAACCACAAAATGATGATTACACCATCACCAATAATTAACCAGAACCATTTAATAACAATTTTTCTACACTTGTACTGCTATAACAGATGTGCGTTACAAACACAGTTACAGCAACCACACAAGCTAGCATTAAAAAGTGAAGGGTCAAGAGCCCAACTAAAGCAAACACTGATCGCCACGATGGTGAGGTCAAACAAAACGAATAGGAATTATTGATAAATTATTATAATTATACATAACAAATATAACCATTTCAGCAATAACTGTGAGAGGAGTTTAGGGAGTTACAGGATTTTTCAATTGCGTTTACTGCGTAAATAAATTATAAAACAATTAACAGATCATTATACTGTAAAACGTAACAAATTCATTATATAATATATATATTATATAACGAAATTACTTACTGAATATACCTATTACTGAAACTATTACTGAACGTTCATTGTACTTTAACACAAGTCATACGAACTCAGTAACTGATTATAAGAGAATGAGACATATCATAAAATAATAAATAACCAAGCTGGGGGGGGATTATACAAGATTAAACATTGAAAGTAATTTGGACTTTTTATAGACTTATTTTTTATGCCCATCAAAGACAAATCATATGAAATTTGACACTAGCAGGTTCTTCTTACCCAAAATTTTGCATTTGTGTAGGCTAGTGTTTCCCAACCAGGGTGCCGTCTGTCGAGGGCAGGGGTGCCGTGTAAAAAAAATCCTTTTTTAATATTTTTAAATTGTTTTTTTTACGGGATTGTACTGTTGTAATGAAAAACAGGATGTTACTGTCAGAATATGGCCATTTTTTTACAGCAATTTTTTACAGTGTACAAATACATGTAAAATACAGATATAATTTAAATATTTGGCAACTAGTTCTCATCTATGGTGTTAATATTTCAAAAATAATTTTATAGAAACTATGTAACAAGAATACATTTTATATTGTTTACATATGTATAAAAGCCTACATTAAAAATCTGTCATATAAATTGGTCTCTTCAATAGAAATTAGCCTACTGATTGCCACCATTGATGGACAAATTTTTTTAATAATATTAAAAATATCTGTATGACATTATATTCTGCAGTTCTTTCCTGTTGTACCGAATATCTATACTTTTCAAATTATCACATCGAAGTTAGAAATTCAAATATTGTGACAAAATTAATTTTGTAGGGTGCCACAAGTTTTCTTTTCTTTTTGTTAAGATGTTAAGTTAGTTATCTTACCCAGTAAACGACCTGTTGCTCGCCATGATACAACCTCACTCGCTCTTCTGTCAGACTGCAGCGGCAGTGGCGGGGATTCCGGGAAACGTAGTGGGCGTGGTCAACCTATGACTTCAATCGAGAGTGACCAATAGAAAAAGGCCTTTCATCCTGGTGGGTAGAGACCGCCCACTGAGACACAGTTTAACTCGCAAGCAAAACTTTTCAACTTACAAACAAGTTTTACACCCGCAAAAAAAGACGGCAGAAACGAGAGCCACGTTTGTGGTATCGCGATGAAAAGTGTTTGAAGTGCACAAAGAAAAATAAAGATTTTCTAAGATTTATACGCACTACAAATAATTTTGTTATCAATTTCTTTATTTTTGAGCCTTTAGAATACTTTTTTTTTGCAGTCTTTTATTTTTTAATTACACAATAATTAGTTTTACTCTCAAACACAGAATGTTTGTTTGAATAATAAAGTCACAAAAATAATTCCATAGGGGACACGCATGATTCAACTCTAAAGTCATTCTCTTGCTGCCAGGTCTCAACCAAACAGAAGAAATCAAACTTACGATCATCCACAATGTCACTGATGAAGAGACCCTTGTTAGAGAGTGAACGTATATTAAAAAGTCCAACTTTGAGCTCATTCCCACCCAGTGAAGAGCTAGCCGATCTGGCTAAGCTAGCCAGGACGCTCTGGTCAACAGTCCGCCGAGTATTCCTCACTGCTCAGGGAGCTGAAGTCCAGAATGACCGTATAACCTTCAAGTCATCATACCTGAAACCCCGTCAAGACCCACGATGGATATATTTCGGGCGGGGACGATGAACAATGTCCTGATGGAGGCAGAGCGAAGGCGGAGGCTCAGCAGAGTAGCACCGCAGCTGGTAGAGCTCGGTCACTGTATATAGAAACAGTGAGGTCGCCGAGTGGAACAGTGACAATAGAACAATCCAAACGATGATGAAAAAATGGTAAGTCCACATCGTGTCAGTCAAAACGAAGTTCAACAAAGGTAGAAAACACCGGAGAGCAGCGGCAGCCAGTCGCGCCAGCGTTCACTCAACCGGAACCGTCCAATTTTGTTGATATTGTGAGTGCACACAAATACAAGTAGACCCTTTGCAGTTCCCAATGATGCATTAATAATAATTAAACACTTTGTCGTCAGAGTTGGTATGTGGCTTTATCAGACAATTGCACTTAACATTTTATGAAAATCAAGCTCAAATGGAGTTAACAAGGTTTTTGACCAGTGAATGACGGCATATGCACAGGATACTTAAAACGTAGCCTACAAAAGTAGCCTATGGTTACAACTAGACGGCAAAAGCTATTCCCCGCTCTTCAAACACACAAAAAACAGTAGCCTTTATAGACATAGTGTTTTAGTGAAGAAAACGCTGTACTTATTCAAACATCATTTATTATTTACCCTTGCACTGCGAACAAGCCGAGATCTGTCTCCAGGCTCCGCGGCGCTTTGTTCTGAATGGAAGCAGGGTGAAGTTAAGAGGTTTTGCTGACAGTTTGAGGATCCACAGCGTTAAAAAGTTTAGTGACAAGCTCTTTTGAATACTTTTCATTGGTTAAATATTTGCAAAATATAATAGAGAGTTTGGATTTTCCACGGCACACCTGACTGGGCTAGGGTATGGCGACTGCCATACTCTGCCATAGGAAACGCTGCCCCTGGGACAAAGCCAAATGATTATCAATGTACTTATTCACATGTACGTTTATCCAGACGCTTATCCACACGTACGTTATCCAGACACAAAGTAAAAAAATCCTTTCTTTGCTACATCGCCGCCACGCCTCCACGCAGTTTGAGCGCAGCTCCGACACGTGACCGTGACGTCTAACGTCTCATATCTTACGTCTGACGCCTGAATACTATGGGATTTTGGCCAGACGGCTGGCGAGCGTATACACGTTAGTTCTCCTCTCAGTTTGCTTAGCAATCAGCAAAAAGTGCATAAAGCACACCCCATACACTCCAGCGCGAGAGATGGCGATATACACGCCCCCGTGTAAAAGAATTGTTGGTTTGTGTGCATGCGCACCTACCTTACGGAAGTTTTGAACCTAGCTTACTAACCTAGTACCTGAAATTTACAGTGTATAATCACGCGGTAATTCTGCTCTACTAATGATCGACGCCAAATTTCTGTTTGGTTTTACTGTTTAGAATAGGTCAAATGTGGGTCATTTTAAGCCGGCCATAAACACACGAAAGCGTTGACCGTTTTCCGTACACAACAGCGCGAGAGTCGTGCTGCCATGCCATCCGCTGAAGCAGCGCCGAAGAAAAAAACTCATTCGCTTCGCTAGGATGGAAGAGGGCATTGACCGCGACGAGCAGGAAGAGGATACACTTTTCGACAAGCGTAAAGACAATAAGAAGGGATTGAAAAGCGCTCTGAAGGGGGGCAAAGGGGTGCTGCTGAACCCGGGGTCTGATCAGGTTGATGTAGTACTACCCGGACGAAGCCAGTGCAATACTGGGGCATGCTGGCGATGGCTGGTCAGCCTTGCAGGTTATTTGGGCTAGAAGTGGGTTACACATAGCCGGACTATATCGGGTCTATAGTTAACCGAGACGTTGAAATGACGGCTATTGCTTGCTGGGTATGTTGCCTTGTATATCTAAAAGTGCACTTTTATTTGTTTTAAACCTAGCCAAACACAGTAGACTTTAATTATATCTATTTATTGTGAAATTACTACATTTCAGTCTCAATCCATGTTCATTTTTACCGCGAACAATGCGCTGTCACTTTAATTCAGCGCGTGCAGCACAGCAAAAATAGACTTGGTGCGTAAACGATCGCTGCACTGCTGCAGACGCGCCGCACCTGGAACGCACTGACGGACCGCAACCGCGTGCAGTGTGAAAGCTCTAATCCGTTAACATGGGTGCGTAAAAAAAAAGGCAACGCACACGCACTGCAGACGGAGTATGTGTGAAACAGACATAAGACCTGATGCACGGATCCCATATAATGATACACATCACATCCGATTTCTTTTTCAGCTGTTTTCATTAACTTGAGACATAACTGACTGCGTTTAACGGAATGATCGTCGAGATGGGTATTTTGTCATAATTTTATGTGTATGTGTCTGTTCAGAGGATTCAGAAGAGGATTCAGTTCGGTGTTCGCGCGCCGTCTGAAACGCGTGTGGGCGCTTCATGTGTGTGCGGCTGTGCGCGTAGACAACAGCACGCGAGTAACGAATCGAGTTCCCTTTCGCTTTTTCTCTCTGTAATTGTTTAAAAAATGATATTTAGACACATGATACTGTTTGGTTACCTTATTCATGTGCCATTACATAGTATGTGCAAGGTACCTGATTACCGTGGTATTAGCATGGTACTATGCAGACAAAACCATGTACGCAGTCGGGAGGCTGATATTCGCTCAGGCTGAGTATAGTTTGGTAATGCAGTACTACACATCCCACAATGTTAAAGTGTGTGATTAGTAGAAAAATTGCAGAAATATCTAATCTAAAGCACATTATTTATTTTTAAATGTCAAGAACTAACTTGAGCAATTGTAGATCTAGTCTCCGCAGGAGTCATGATTTATGAACAGCTTCTATGCATTCGCTATAAGTACCTTTTATTTATTTTTTTAAATACCTATTTTTTAATATTATTATTTATAATATCATAGTATTGTTTGAAGTATCTTGAAGTACCATGTAAATGCTGGGGTATATAAATATGGAAGTACCATCTAATGTCATGACTGTACCTCTGTAAGATATCTATCCATTTTTTCATATGCACATGTTGGAATGTGCACATTAACTGTCGTATATTTGTATATGTATGTATTTGTTTATATGGTATATTTATAGGGAATGGCCATCTCTGTATTGGGCCCTACCTTCGAAGACCTGGCTGTCAATGTCAACAAGAACATCAGTAATTTATCCTATATACTTGTGGGTCGTTCATCTGGATACATTGGAGGTTCCCTGTTAGGAGGGATCCTGTTTGAATGTATGAATCCCCATCTGCTTTTGGGTAAGGCCTATAGACTCCATAGACAAAAGGACTTTGTGTTAATTGAAAGAGCCATTTTAATATTTAACTTTTGTAAATCATTTACTTATGAAAGTGTTATAACTGATTATAGGAGTTGGTCTAACAGTTAACCATATGGACTCATAATGCAAAGGTTGCAGGTTTGGGGAATCTGCAATCCTTGCACTATCACCTGATTAAGATGATTAAACTTAATCTAAAATTTAATCTAAAGATTTTAGAGCAGAGATTTATTTTGGGGTGAACTATTTCTTTAAATTAATCAAAAAGAGAAAGGAAAAGCACAGAAAGGGCAAAATAAAGAGAAGGCTACAGAGAAGCAGATTAAATTGCCCAATAAAATATCCCTGTTACTTTTCTACAAGCTATCATGTATGAGTTAGTGACTGTTGTCTGAGGAGCCATGTCTCATAGTTTGTTTTGTGTTAGGACCCCACAGATTTGTAGATTTATTTAGCTGAAATATTTTAGAAACTTCAAAAGTAATGGCAGTTACAGGACATTTACATACAGGACATTGGAGTGTGTTCTCCCCTTTTTGTATTTGTATTTTCTTTTCTTTTTGTTTGGATACATGATGTGTGATATTACAAAGTATAATTAGTGCTTCGTTACTCACAGTTGATTTATATCTGCAGGCTTCTCATTGTTAATCACAGCATTTGGGATGTCTGGTACTCCTTTCTGTAAAAAGGCTTGGCTGCTCACTGTTTTGATGTCTGGTGTGGGGGTGTCAGTGGGAGTTTTAGATACAGGTAAGATAACGTGCCTGGTGTAGACAAGGCGTTATAGTTTAATTCCAGCATTAAGCAATTAACAGTAAGAATTTTAGTAGTATTAAGCATTGTGGATGCTCTGTGTGTGTGTATATATATATATATATA